GGGGAGGGGAGCCAAGGTGCTGAGGGGTCTCAGAACTGTCCAGATTATTTTGAGGAGAAATCAGACAAGCCAGGGTGCTCCGGAAAGAGGAAAGGACAAGAGACAAAGGAAGTAGATAAAAAGCAGAAAGATGGTGACAGGAAAGCTCAAAACACAGAAATGGGAAAGAAGGAGGAAGAAAGACAGACAGACATGGAGAAAGTTTAGAAATAAACATATCCACAGGATGCATGCCTCAGATTATTAAAAGGAAACCTACAACAGACATAGCTTATATTGTTCTCAGTTCAGACTTATAACGAACTGAACAATGTTCTGAAGTGGTGTCCTCAGGCATGTAGAGCAGCCATGCAGAAGGCAGGCCTGCAGCACCAGCTGCTTGGGTCACATAATCAGAGGCCAGTGCTCTTGATCTTTGCAGAGTGAGAAGGGCCCAGGACAAAGGATGGCCCTTTTTCAGACGGTTCCTCCTGCCTCACACCGTGCTGGTTCTCTTGCAAAAGCCTTTAAGGGCCAGAGGGCAAAGGTCAGGCCTTTTCCTTCTTCTGTCCTCTGCTGATGCAAATAGCAAGTGTTCCATTATCCCTTGGGTCAAAAAGAAGAGAGACTGGAAAATGGTGGTCAAATGGTTGTAGGATCTCAAATGCTGAATATTTCCTAGAATATCCACACATGGAAAGGATGATTATTTCTTCTCACTCTAGTTCTATAGAACTGATCAAAAATAAAAATAAATTAATGAGGAAGAAAGGTGGGTTTAATTTTGTGATTTAATTCCTAGAGCTAACTGGCAAACAGAAGTAGAGATATATTCAGGAACAAAGGGTCCTTTTAAATGTTAAATATAGAACATCATTTGTTGAGCAAATTCTGGCATGTTACTCAAATCCTCTGGGTCCTTGGAGACGCTAATAGAAAACAATGAAGGTTCCTCTCATGCCGGCACCCAGTTCATTGTGGACAGACTGCTGTTTCAAAGATGGGCTCTGTGTTTAAGTGGATACCACACTCATGTTTGTTTGTATATGTGGTTAGTGTCCGAAATTAAACAAAACCATGGTACAGTTGTTATGTCATCAGCTGCTGCATTTTTAATTTAGTTTCTTTAAAAACAACAATAGACTTACCTCTTGAAATTAAGGCAACCAATCAGGTTAATTTCTCCTCCAAGCTAGTGGAAATACAATACTGTTGACTGCCTGGGGTTAATGGAGCTGATCCCACCTGCTTGTGAACCCCAAGCAAATGCAATGATGTGACCGACATATCTCAGCCGACTGAATGGATGGAGGCACTGAAGAAGCAAGCAGTTCTATTCTGCACAAGGACAGGGCTCCACATCATCACCCTTGCCTCAAACACAAAGCAAGTGTTGAAACCCGCCAGAACCTCCCAGAAGGAGATCTATTCCTCAGCTAAAAGCAAGCGACATCCTTTTAAATTCCCTTCTGTTTATAAATAATGTGACCTAATTGTAGAGAAAGATAGGTTGCCTCACATATTATTTGAAACAAAGTGATTTATACCTAATAATGTGAAAATGTCCCTTGAATTATAAAGTACAGAAAATGCAAATTCAAAGGATTGTTTTAGATGCTTTATACAACATAATTTAAACAGTTACCCTCACTGGTTGTCTGCCTGGAAGAACCCTCACTTGGTGGGAGGCAGAGTGCTTTTGTAGTATAATCTCATTCAATTTTCCCAACAACCCGTTGAGGGAGATTCTATAATTATGCCCATTTTGCACATGAGGAAACTGAGGCACAGAGCAGCTAGGTAACTTGGCGAGGAAGTGGGAGGACTGTATATAAATCCAAGAGGCCTGACTCCAGGGCCTGAGCTCACAACCATGACATTATATTACTCTTTTTATTCATCTGCAGAAGGTCTTTTAAGAACTATTTTAAATTGAACTTTTAAAAAGGAGCTATTCATAGAGGGAAATGAAGCAAAAAGTATGAAAAGAATTCTAGCCTGTATAGTTGTCAGTTCAGACTTAGAAGAGTGTTCCTCTATAAATTGTTGCCACCTCATCTATGTGGGCACGTGGACAACAAATCCACATGAGTTAATCTAACGCAGTTTCTCTCTCTCTCTCTTTTTTTTTGACTGAGTTCTGCTTTTGTTGCCCAGTCTGGAGTGCAATGGTGCGATCTCAGCTCACTGCAACCTCTACCTCCTGGGTTCCAGTGATTTTCCTGCCTGGGCCTCCCAAGTAGCTGAGATTACGGGTGCCCGCCGCCGTGCCCAACTAATTTTTCGTATTTTTTTAATAGAGATAGGGTTTCACCCTGTTGGCCAGGCTGGTCTTGAACTCCTGACCTCAGGCGATTCACTCACCTTGGCCTCCCAAAGTGCTGGGATTACAGGCATGAGCCAACACACCCAAACGTCTAATGCAGTTTCTACAGTAAAGGGATTTGCAATCTTGGAAGTCAAGGCGAAAGAGCAATAGGGATTTTTATGGAAGCAGAGGTCACCCACACAATCACATATCAGGCAGGTCATGTCAAAGCCCTGCTTTCTTGAAGCACCTGCTGTTGTGAAGCCTGGTGGCAAGTGAGGGACAGTCCCACAATGCAGACACTGTTAGCTCCGGGACTCACTGCTGAAGGGGGGAAGGCTGGCTGGGAAGAAGTCACATGCCAGCATGTGCATGGCCTTCAGGAGATCAAGAGACCCTTTGGGAATCTTTGTATTTCCCCTTGTGATCGCCATAGTGAAGCACGTAGGTGCTTCTTAACCTTTTCTGCGTTTACACGCTGCAGAGTTCAGGAACTTAGACATTTCTTTAGACACTGCCAATGCCAATGCAGAGATGTCCACTGTGGCCCTGAAACACTTTCTGCGCTTCCACCTGCTAGACTGTTCCGCCTCTCTCTCAAGGGCAAGGATGTGACTTTTTTGTTTTTAAAGCATGCTTTTATATAAATTTACACTGAGCCAAGTTTCAATTGACCATGTGTAGATTATCTTTTTTTAAAAATTTTTTAATTATTTATTTATTTATTTATTTATTTTTTTGAGGCAGAGTCTCGCTCTGTCGCCCAGGTTGGAGTGCAGTGGCCGGATCTCCGCTCACTGCAAGCTCCGCCTCCCGGGTTTACGCCATTCTCCTGCCTCAGCCTCCCGAGTAGCTGGGACTACAGGCGCCCGCAACCACACCTGGCTAGTTTTTTGTATTTTTTAGTAGAGACGGGGTTTCACTGTGTTAGCCAGGATGGTCTCGATCTCCTGACCTCGTGATCCGCCCGTCTCGGCCTCCCAAAGTGCTGAGATTACAGGCTTGAGCCACCGCGCCCGGCCTCACGTGTAGATTATCTCCCAACATGGGGGCCAAAAGACTGTGCACTAAAACAGGGTTATATGGTTCTGAGCTAAGAAAAGTGCCAGTACACTTTTCAGTACTAAAAGCTTTTTAGTGAGAACAGTTACTTAATTTTTTACCTCTTGACCCACAAAGTCTAAAATACTATCTGGCTCTTCATAGAAAAAATTTACAGACCTCTGTAACTCAACATCCCTGCCAGCTCCTATGTGTGCCTTTTATGTGGGAATCCCCCAATCTCCTTTTGTTGTATTATTTTTAATTATGCTGTAATTATTGAGTAATGTCCATACATCACCTGATGCCAATCCATTTTCCTGTGCCCAGTGCATTACATCTGGCCTAGAATAAAGGAAGTCCTCAAAACATCCTTATGACAGAAAGGCATTTCCCATTCCCTTCTCCTCACAAGAGGGATTTTCCATCCCGCTCCTTGTGGGTGCCTTTCCATGCTGTCTGTTTGACCTTTCTGCCTGTGTTTCTTTTTCTCTACCAATTTCCTTGCGTTTCTCATTTTCGCATGTGCCACCTTCTCTCATTCTTTTTCTGAAACGTAGAAGCGGGCATTATTGAATACTTAAAATTATTTTTTTAATGCTCACTTTAGCTCCTGTTCAAAAAAGTTTGTAGGCACCTCAGCCTACAATTGTTTAGGTGCTAAGAATTCAAACATAAAGAAACACAACTCTGGCCCTTGATGAGCTTACAATCTAGAGAAAATATCCCCGCCTTTTGTTGGAGGCTAATTTCAACAGCAGTACAGCAAAATAGCAGAGGCTATGTTTTTCTCTTTTAAAACAACTGAATTATTTCATATTATTATGTGACTTCTCAATTTTTTTTTTCCCAGTCTTACCACTGTCACTTTACTGGAAGACAATTCCCACTCCTGGATAAGGAAATGCAAATTAATTTCACATATAATTCCACAGGCATGACTAAGAAAGAACATCTTTGGTTAAAACACAGAATATGTTTTAAAACTAATGGTGGCAGCTTTTGGATTTGATTCTTATCAAAAACAAAGTGATTTATACACAATCATGTTATTTTCCTTTCCATTAGCCAACAACAACAACAACAAAACAAAACCGACAGTAATAACAAGAATTGAGTGGACATAAATAATGACAAATATATGTAGGCTAGACATATCTACATGTACGTACATGGGCTAGTTGAATTCTAAAACAGAGGTAAAATCTGTTCTTCAACTAATGTTAACATCTATTGCTAATCTTCCATGTGCTTTGAAAGTCAGCAGATATTTACACATTATCCATTTAATGTAGATAGATTATTTCCCACATATATCATTTGATACTAGTCTTGGGGCTCTGGCTGCTGTCAAGACTAGGATAACATGTACACTAACCACTTCTGGTGATTAGTTAAAACAAACATAGAAGCACACATACAAGTGCACGCTCACATCCAACCAGTCATAATTCCTGGTGTGTATCTGAGACATGGTGGGGTGTCAGCTACTCACAGTCATCTATACTCAAACACAGATACACATGCACACATATATGTACAAGACAGGCATACATTGCCCCAGCAACCCCATTTGACACCGATCCCTCACCCCTCTTGTTTTTAAACTGTTGGTGACACCTTTGTCCCCCTGACGGTCCTATTCTCACTCTGATCAGGTTTGAGGTCTAACCTTCTCTCCGATTGCTTGGACCTGCCACGGGGGATTCCAGACCTTCTGGGGTTCTTTCCACGTGCCCGCTAGGGGCGGCCAGCTCGTCTTGCCACGGCCCAGCGCCGTTCGTAGACTCCGGGTCCAGCTCAGGGCTCTGCATGGAGTCGGGCACAGATTCGAACGCGCTGTTCTCCTCCTCCTCATCATCTTGCGAGGAGAAGACCGTGCTCTCGGAGATCTTGGCGCTGTCTACGGAGGAGAAGCGTGTGTGGCTGGCGAACCTGTTGCCGTTGTAGCAGGAGGGGCTGTAGCAGGAGGCGCTGTAGCACGAGCTGCTGTAGCAGGACGTGCTGTAGCACGAGGAGCTGTAGCACGAGGGGCTGCAGCAGGACGCATCACAGCCCTCGCAACTGTGGTCCCCGCCTTGCCTGGGGCTGGAGTCGCTCTCGCTGCCGGTGCTGGGGTGCGTGTCGCCATCCTGGGCCGCGCCATTGGCCAGGCTGGAGAAGTGGCCCCCGGAGTGGCCAGGGTGCGCCGTGCCTGGAGTAGCCCCCTCGGGCTCTTCTCTGTCCTCTTCCAGGGCAGACGGGTCAGCGGCCACCGTGTCCACCTCGCTGAGCCCATCCTTCTCCGAGGAGTCCTTGAGGGTGGACTCCTCCTCCGCGCCGTCCTCCTCCTCTGCCGCGCTGCCGCCCTGGGCCGAGGGCATGCTGTGCAGCAGGGTGTGGATGCGGATATAGTGTGTCCGCGGGGTCTCGGGGTCCCCGCAGGCTGACGCGATCACTGTCTCCAGCTCAGACACAGGCAAGGAGCAGGGCCTGCTTTTTCTCTTCACCGAGGCCCTCAGTTGCAACCTGCCCTCTCCCTGCTCCAGGGTAGACACATCTCCCTCCTCCTCCTGCTCCTTCTCTTCTTCCCTTCCAGCCCGGCTCTGTGTCGTTGCTTCTTCCTCTAAGGGCTCCTCCTTGGTGCTGGCTGGTGCTTCACCGTCTTCCAGCAGCAGTGCTGACGCCTCCTCACCCAGGTCCAGCTGCTCGGCCAGCTCTTCTGCACTCGGGGCAGGCTGGATGTCCTTTTGCACCTGGGCCAGGAGGTCCCCAGCCCCTTCAGGTCCCACAGAGACCATGCCCTGGTCTCCTGCCTCCGTGATGACTGCTGCTTCCTCAGCTGGTCTGGAAAGCTCCATGCTTTGGTTCCCTGGACCATCCAGGACACTGCCCTCACCCAGCTGCTCTGGCTTCCAGCTCTCAGAGGACTCCGGTGCCTCAGATCGAGGTTCCCCACTGCCACTTTCCATCAGGTTGTTCATGGGGCTGTCCTGAATGGGGGCTGACTCAGGCTCGGTACTCAGGGAAATCTCCTCATCATCTGCTGGTAGGAAGAAAAATATGTCATTTCTCCCAGAAGAGAGCATTGTGGTGTTAGGATACCCTGTGGGACATGTAAGCCATCACTAAGGGATTTCTACATTAGGATATTGAATGTCGATTGATGAGGGTTTCTCACTGGCCAGAGCTCTAGTGAAAAATTCTGTAAGATTGAGCTCTTGCTATGTTAACAACAACTTGCAGTCATGGATATATTTCTGAAATCTGTTTCAAGGGAATTCATCTTTTGGTTAAAATGCCCGAAGCCTAGCACTAACCCAGTTCTGGGCACATAGTAGGTGCTCAACAGTGTTTGCCACATGGAATGACTTCCAGGGATGAGGGTAGTAGTGGTGTTATTTATAGCTCCTTGATGATTATATTTAGTTAATCGCATTTGCTCAGAATGTTTCCTATGCTTAGGTCCTGCAGGGTGGCATAAGGGGTAAGTGGTATTCTCACGCAACCAGAGAGAAGAAGGCTGGATGAAGAATGGGAACAATCACAGTCATTCAATATCTCAGGCTGGAAGGTTCCCAACATTCAGAGTTTATTCCAATTTAAAAAAAAAACAGTCTTCACCCTCAGCAGCCATTCAAGGGGTAGTAGCCAGTGTTTAACTCTACCTTCCTGCAGCTCTTCTACTGGATTCCTGCCAGATGTGAAATTCCCCATTTCAAATGCACTAGTGCAATTCACTAAAGAAAATCAGTCCCTCTGGTGAGCTGTAAAGCTGTCCTTATGGCTACACCAAAGGAAGAGTCAGTTGTATTCTCAGAATATAGAAATAGACTGAATTTGAAAAGATGAGCCGGGCGCGGTGGCTCAAGCCTATAATCCCAGCACTTTGGGAGGCCGAGACGGGCAGATCACGAGGTCAGGAGATTGAGATCATCCTGGCTAACCGGTGAAACTCCGTCTCTACTAAAAAATACAAAAAACTAGCCGGTCGAGGTGGCGGGCGCCTGTAGTCCCAGCTACTCGGGAGGCTGAGGCAGGAGAATGGCGTAAACCCGGGAGGCGGAGCTTGCAGTGAGCTGAGATCCGGCCACTGCACTCCAGCCTAGGCAACAGAGCGAGACTCCGTCTCAAAAAAAAAAAAAAAAAAAAAAAAAAAGAATGAAAAGATGAAACAGTCAAGGTGTTTTCTCACAATCTAAGTTGTATAGTGGCATAGGAAAGTACACCTGGAGTTTAACGAGTGGGTAGTGATAAACTCCAGGCTTTAAGTTCTCAAGAGCTTCATTAGACTTAACAGCAACTTGTAAATGGTCCAGGAGGTCCTAACAGTTCTCAGTGTGATCTATATTGAGATGGGGGCTACAGAAGAAGAGCAAAAGTAGAATTATGAGGCATATTATCATTCATATTTTGAAATCTGTTTAGCATTAAATGGAATATTGGATGATTCTGGAGTTTTCTGTCGTATTTATACTTTTCATGTTTTTCTGTGATATTATAAAAATTCATTGTACAATTATAGTTCTTCAACATGACATACTTCAGCAACTGGCTAGTCTATATCTAGTTACTAGGTAGAAAGATGTTTCACGTTCATTCATTTGTTCATTCATTCATGTATGTGATGATTAAACACCTATGTGGGTGCTGGGAGTAGGATGATAAATAAGACAGAGCTCCCTATCCCTGTTGGCCTCATTGTTAATCTTCAGTCCACTGTCTAACCTCTACCTTTGGGTCACTAGAATGAAGAGAAGCTTCTCCATCAGGGAGACAGCAACCTGGCTTCCAGAATAGATCACTGGCTTCTGGGCCTCAAATGGAGAAGATAGAGAACCACAAAACCTAGGATATGTCTAGAGAGAACCATGGTTATTGTATTTTAGAGAAAGGAACCATACTTATGACACTAGCCTAGGACAAGACATGAAGTTCATGCTGAAAATACCTGGGTGGATGGAGGAAGTGATCTCAAATCGGAATTGCAGCTGTCCACTCACATGATCTGTTGGAAGCCTGCGGCCAAGTGTGTAGCTGACCACCCTATCCCTAGAAGGAAATAAGCACCATCACAGTTCTGGTCAATACCTCTCCTCCTAATGACCATGCAGTGTGCTTTCTACACCAGTGGGTGAGGCAGGCAAGCCCAGGGAAGTGCTGATGTGCTCAACAGCAATACAAAACTGTAAGGAAGTCCTTATCGAGTACAGATGCCCCTCGACCTACTGTGGATTACGACCTGATAAACCCATCAAAAGTTGACAATACTGGCAAGTCAAAAATGCATTTAATACATTTAGCCTACCAAACATCATAGCTTAGCCTAGCTTACCTTAAAAGTGCTCGGAACACTTAACCTACAAGTATGCAAAATCATGTAACACAAAAACGAAACTATTTTATAATAAAGTACTGGATATCCCATGTAATTTTTTGAATACAGTCTACTGTAGAGTACGGTATCACTTGTTTACCCTATGATCACGTGGCTGACTGGAAGCTATGGCTTGCTGCTGCTACCAGCTTCACAAAAGTATCACGCTGTGTATCACTAGCCCAGGAAAAGATCAAAAATCAAAATTCGATGTTTGGTGTCTGCTGAATTCATTGTAAAGTAAAAAATGATTAAGTTGAACTAACTGTCTATATCCTAAAGCAGGGGTAGGCAAACTACAGCCGAAGGGCAAAATGTGGCCCACTACCTGTTTTTGTGCAGTAGTGACATTTTATATTTTAAATGATGGGAAAAAGAAACAAAAGAAGAGTAACATTTTGTAGCATGTGAAAATTATATGAAATTCAAATTTCAGTGTCCATAAATAAAGTTTAATTGGAGCACGGTCATGCTTGTTAGCTTACATATTGTCTGTGGCAACTTTCATGCTATAATGGCAGAGCTGAGTAATTTAGACAGGGACTGTGGGCCTTGCAAAGCCTAAAATATTTACTACCTGGCCCTGTACAAAAAAGTTTGCCAACCTGTGTTCTAAAAGAGAGAGAGAGAGAATAAAAAAAGACACGGATGTCCTTGGTCTGCTTTTCCTGTGCAGATTGCCATTTGCCAAATATGTCTTCAACGATGGACAGTGCCAGCAGATACATATCTTGTGGTATATATGTAATGTCTAAGAAAGGATGCTGTCATGGTTACTGGAGAGTCTGTGGGCGCTACAGAATGGCACCTGCTCCAGGATGAAGCAGAGCAAGACTTGTGGGTTGGGTTCTCTGGCTTGAGACTTCCACTTAACACCAACTGCAGGGCTCTACTTGTAGGGACCCCGAGTCTCCACCCTGGACTTTCATGCCATCCCCTCCACCCCCTCAAAGCAATTTCTTAATTATAAAAAGAAAACTTTCTAGAGGCAATCAACCTGAAACTTTGCTATTATATTTTCATTAACAATACAGCTTCAGCAGAGTAAATTGCCCCTTAACTTGGCCTGAATAGGAAGAGTGACCACCTTAGGATATTCAGGAGTTAACAAACCCAGGGTACACAGTAGTAACAAACACATAGCCCCAAACCAGTTGTTATTCAGATGACTCTGTATTTATTCCATTTATTAGTTTGTGACATGAAAATAAAAAGATAAATCACTGGCTAATAGTGTTTTAATGTTTCTTTCTAGAAAACACTGGCATTATGAGATAAATAACAAGCCCTTGACTTAAAATTGTTCTTTGATAGGCCATGATTTAGTGTTTGGAGTTCCTCAGAAGTCCATTAAGTAAAGCATTATATGTAGAAAAAAATAGAAGGAACCTCAGTATTTTGTCTATTTAGAAAGAGCCTTTGGTCAATATTATGAAGTACATCTATTACGACCATAACAAAGACAACCCAAACCCAAAACTTAATTGAAATCAGGGGAGGCCTAAAGACAATCAGACAATGGCAGAAAAATTACATTTATTATGCTTTGCATTTACTTTCCAGGCTTTTCTTTTTTTTGCTTTTCACTCACTCAACAAATATTTTTTGAGCCCCTGCCACGTGAAAAGTGCTGCAGTTGATACAAAGCATTTCATACATCGCCCCTGCCTTTAAATAGCTTATGTCCAGCTGGGGGCATAAGGTAGGACCACTAAATAATGGTTCAAGGCAGACAGTGACACTTCAATGCCAAGGTGAGACGGTTAGAGTTAGAGGCAGAGAGCCAACTGAAGCCTGGGATTTTACAGGCCAAGGAATCGAGGTAGGGTTGGAAATCAGAGTGCGTGTGTGCCCAGGGGGGAAAGGTGCAAGTATCTCAGGGCAGGGAGGGAGCCGGTACAGGTGGAGCCAAATGTTTCAGAAGCCATCGATGCAGGGGGCTTTATAGGGAGTGCATGTGCTGAGGGCAGAGGGAAGCTGCGGTGCAAAGTGGATTCACTTTTGTTATGGGTGCACTCTGGGGTTCTGCCATGGCTCAGGCTGCATGGCCACTGCTTCCATGGCCATCACCCCAACACTCTGCTCCTACCCACAGTGGGACACCTCCGGAAGGGGCAGCAATACAGAAGTGGCCCCCAGGGGCTGTGGAAGCAGAAGGCTTTGGAGGAGGAGCTGCTCTGCCCCGCCACCAGGGGGCGGTCTGTCATCCCATCAAAGATGGTGGGAGGAGAAACACCACCATGGCATGCTGTTGCCGCCTCTTGGAGAGGTGTAAGCTCAATCACGCTCGATCTGTGCTCTCCATTTCCCTGGGTGGCAAGAACACTGGGAAAATCATAGCTAACCTTCTTCTGGTCGGGGACACCCTTTTCCACCTCAGAAACTTGCTTTCAGCTGGGGATGTGCCTTTCCACAGTGGGAGGCTGGGAGAGCGGGACAGTGCCAAGAAGATAGGAGCCAGCAGCTTGGACTTAGGAGAGAACTCAGCATGGGAGGGCAGAGGGGCTCTGCGGCTGCAGCGAGCTGGAGAGAGAAGTTCTGTTCCACAGGTACAAATTGATATCTAATGCATGCTGGGCGGCGGTGCACTAGGTGCTGGGGTAGAAAGAATTCCACACAGCCCCTGTTTTTGTTCTCCAGCCGACCCCCTGGCAGAGGTGCTAACAGCTGTGAGAGCAGCCAGTAGGGCAGAGAAGGAGAGAAATGAAAAGCGCGGCCCACAATAAACTAGAGAATCAGTCCCAGGAACCCGGAGAGAAGCCTGTAGTGCAGGGATGGCCCTCGGGCTTTGGAGACACACAGGTAAGAGTCTGACCTCCGCCTGGATCTCTGCCACCCACAAGCCTTGGGTTTACATAATTATTGATCCTTTTGAAGTCTTGTTTCCTCGTGGAGGAATGGTGATAATGCTGTCACAGAAGCATTATGAGGACTAAATGAAATAAAAAAGATCACAAAGAATACTAGTTTCTTTTGTGTTCCTACTATGTGCCAGTGACCATGTTAGGTTCTTTATGTACACTTTTTGTCTGTTTAATCCTCACAACCATGAATGACAAGTGCAAACACTGCGTGTGATGCGTGACTGCAGCTCCATAAACTCAGCTCCCTTTGGCTGGAGAGTTCGTGGCAGGCCTCTGTGCACTCCGCTGCATGCACACCATAAAGTTCCAATTATTAATAAATATCTTTGTGATAATTATCAGTGATTCCAAAGTCCTTCTGATAATCCAAAGAACTTTAAATTAAGATACTTGGAAATTCTGCATATTTTTCTCATTCTTTTGCTATCTTTGTAAGAGTTACATTGTATATAAGTATATATTTATCAATAGAAAGCTTTATTTTGTGTTTTCAAATGTAGTCCCTGTTACCTAAAGAAATACAGATTATATATAGGGCTGTTATCTGGTCATAGTCCACTTTAATGAGAACCATGAGTGGACATGAATGTGTAAGAGACAAAACCGAAACCCATTCTCATATGCAATTGAATTCTATGAGCATCTTAACTGCTGTCATTCCGTAAGAATCATGCTTTCAAATTCTCATCCATGTTATCTAGCATGTGCAGATACTAGTGTCCTCTAAGTAAGACACTCTACCGTAGTTACCCAGTATTTCATCTTGTTACAGAAATGTCACATATGATTAAATCTTACATACCAGACTGATATATGAATGAAATAATATTCTTCATAGTAAAACAAACTTGAGTTGCTTCCTGTACAGAAAAATGTCCCACTGAGGGCTTCTTTTAATACTGTTTAATAGTTTTAATAGGATTCTTTACTCTCTTGGGTAAGTAACCAGTGTTACACCATCAAGTGGAAAGGGAAGGGTTTGTTTAATCGAACAAACACTTATGTTGGCTCAAGCAACATAATTAGTAGGAAAAGCCAAGGAAATATAGTGATAACATTTTGACTCTCTGTGAGACTATACTATTGCAGCCTACAGGCCACCTTTGGGCATGGCCTGTTGGTGGGAACCTAGTGATTGTAAGATCTCAGTCACAGGTTTACCCTATGGCGTGTCTCTCCAGGAGTCTTTGAACGGGCATCGACAGCTTTCCCAAGAAGCGCTTGATGATGGGACGGCTCTTGGCAAACTTGTCTTTCACCTCAATTTCCAGCACGTCAGTGGGCAAGGACACAAAACTGAATTGCTGCAATGAAAGAATATGTCACATCAATTAACTGAGAGGTTGGAGGGCTGGCCAATTCCCAGTCCATCTGCCTTGATGCTGTCACTGTAAAACACCCCAGCTATAATATACATATATATAAAGGGTCTTAGAAATGCTGTGAGCCCTGTTTATTCAGTAAATGAGGGGCAGCAACAAGATGCTTCCTCAGGGCTTAAAAACAGGCTTATTCTTTGAGATTCAAACAGTAAAATCAGCACACTTTAAAAAGAAAGAATGCCACCAAAGCCTCACCATACTTGATTGGAGGTATTATCATACTTAAAGAAAGAACAAGCACAAACTCACCTGTAATTAAGAAAATGTACTTTAAATCAACAATGCAATACAGCTTTTCATGATTATGATGGAAGAGATTTCTAGAAGTTTGGTAATACCCTGTATCCTTGAGAGGGGGAAGAGACAAGAATTCTCACACTGTTTTGGTGGGAATGCAAATTGATTTGACCTTTGGGAAGGGAACTGGCAATATTTACTGGCATTTAAACTGCAAATCCCTTCAACCTAGAATTATATTTTTAGGGATTTCCTTCTGGATTAACTTGCGCAAGTGTGTAAAAGATACATTTAACAGGGATGTTTATTGGAGCATTACTAACAATAGCAGAAGACTGGGGAAAAACACAAAACTGTTTACAAAGAGGAAACTGGTTAAGTGAAGGCTGATAAATCTTTGAAACTGAGAACCCTTCCATCGTTAAAAAGAAAGGGGTGAATCAACATGCACCAACATGAAAAGACACCGAGAAATGAAGTGATAAAGCAAAGCGCAGAAGAATACGAAGAGTAGGATTTCATTTGTACTTTGAACCGCAGAGAAAATGTCTAGAGGGGGGCGCTCCAAACTGAACTCCAGGAAGTGGGATGGTAGGGGAGGGAGAAAGCAGGTCTTTTACATTTTACTTAATTTGATTCTAAAGTATTCATTTGTTAACTGGGTGTGGTGGTGGGCACCTATAATCCCACCTACTTTGGGAGACTGAGGCAGGTGAATTGCTTGAACCCGGGACATGGAGGTTGCAGTGAGCTGAGATTGCACTACTGGACTCCAGCCTGGGTGACAGAGTGAGACTCCATCTCAAAACAATATACACAAAAATTTTTTAAAGTATTCATTTGTTAAATAGTGTATGGTGTGACTTTTAAAATAAAACAGTAACAATTAAAGGAAGACTGTGACCATCAGAAGTTGGCTTGGTCAACATTAATGTCAGGCCTCTGAGCCCAAGCTAAGCCATCATATCCCCTGTGACCTGCACATATACATCCAGATGGCCTGAAGTAACTGAAAAATCACAGAAGAAGTGAAAATGGCCTGTTCCTGCCTTAACTGATGACCTTGTGAATGTTACCTTGTGAAATTCCTTCTCCTGGCTCAGAAGCTCCCCCATTGAGCACCTTGTGACCCCCATCCCTGCCCGCCAGAGAACAACCCCCTTTGACTATAATTTTCCATTACCTACCCAAATCCTATAAAACAGCCCCACCCCTATCTCCCTTCACTGACTCTGTTTTCAGACTCAGCCCACCTGCACCCAGGTAATTAAAAAGCTTTATTGCTCACACAAAGCCTGTTTGGTGGTCTCTTCACACGGATGCGCGTGAAAATTACAAGTGTAAAAAGGAGACACGGGAAGGTAAAGGTTGGCATTGGCCAGCCCAAACTACTTGTAACATTGAATGTCTTATAACATTGAATGTTATAGTCACCTTGATCAAAGGCTGTGAAACACCTGAAATAAATACATATTTTCTTTTATTCTCATGAATCTTAACAGCAACCTTTTTTTTTTTTTTTTTTTTGAGACAAAGGCTACCTCTCTCACCCAGGCTGGAGTGCAGTGGCACGATCTCGGTTCACTGCAAGCTCCACCTCCTGGGTTCATGCCATTCTCCTGCCTCAGCCTCCTGAGTAGCTGGAACTATAGGTTCCCGCCACCACGCCCAGCTAATTTTTTGTATTTTTAGTAGAGATGGGGTTTCACCGTGTTAGCTAGGATGGTCTCGATCTCCTGACCTCATGATCCGCCTGCCTTGGCCTCCCAAAGTGCTGGGATTATAGGTGTGAGCCACCGCGCCCAGCCTAGCAATCTTTTAACGTTAGTTGATTTCTATTTCCAGAGATTAAATACGTTGGGCATGCTAATGTGAGTATCTTCTTTGTGGCAGTCAGGATGAGCTGGGGCATGCTGCACTAACAGCCAACTTCCAGGTCTCAGGGGCTTCAAGTTGTATTTCTTGCTCACATTCTCACTGTGGGCTGATGGAGCAGCCACCCTTTCAAGCATTGCCAGTTACAATGACAGAGGCAAAAAGAGCTCCCCCTGCAAATAAGTATTCACTTCCAAACACAGCTCCGCAGAACTAGACACAGGCCCCAGCTACCCTCAGGGAGCAGGAAGTATAATCCTATAGGCTGCCTGGGAGATGGACTGCAGAAATATTTGACAAACAGTGCTAATGAGTTCCACAGTGACCATGTGGTACATCTGATTGCCATTATAAATTAGTTTTAGTTAACTCCTATATAACTCCTAAGAACTAATCATTCCCAGTACTGAGAAAACTGAATTATGGGCATGTCAAGTTTGAGGATCAAACCCAGGAATAGGTACTACTCTAAAAAGGCCTTCCTAAGTGAGAATCCAGCCCTGCTGATTGTCTCAGGTCCTTAAAACTTCTATATCTTTGGTCCAGTTATTCCATTCTGGAGTGTATTATAATATATCTTCTAATCTAAATGCCCAACAATAGTTTAGGTACATTGTGACATGCACAAATAATAGTTTATGCTTTTCTAAATTATAATAATTTATATATAAATATGTATAATTACATGCAACACTAAATGCTAATAAGATGGAAAATGCTTGTTTTGCAGTGTTAAGTAACAAAATCAGGACAAATACAATTCATGATCACAATAATATGAATTATATGAATAAAAAAGACTGGAAAAAATTGCAACAGATTTTATAACAGTTGTTTTACCAAGTAAGAACATATTTTCCCCCATTTCCTTTTTCTGTATTTTCCATGCTTTCTATAATGAGCACCTATTATTTTCACAAGGAAAAACATAATCACCTTTACTAAAATGAGACTATTTCTACCTACAGTAGCCTACATGGGACACTGAAGTTAACTTATCAAAATGTATTATGAAACTTAGCGGGAGCTTCTGGGTTCTTTCCTCCCTCCACAACTTTCTTCTTAAACTCTCTTCACACACCCACCCCTTCATCCCAGACACCGACCTCTCTCCCCACCAGGCTCTTGTCTCCATGCCATGGTTACTGGAGTCCATGTAGACCCCCAGCTAGGTCAGGCTCTGTTAAGAACTAGTGAGTAGTCCTGAAAATGTAAAAGTCTGTCTGTTTGTGGACAAGCTACTTGCACCCATGAGCCTCAAGCCAGTATCATGGATTTCACCTGGCTACCCTGACTTGGCCTTTACTTCAAGGCTCCGAAGAAACTTTGGAGTGAGGTAAACTCGGTTTTATTCCTAGCTCTGCACATCCAAGTTTTGGACTCTGTCATTCACAACCGCTCCAAACCTCAGCATTTTCACCTGTAGAATGGGAAAAGAAGGCCCACGCCATGTTAGACCAAGTTTCTTCCCTCTCCATTCCTATTCTTTCCAGACCCCACCTGCCCCAAGATTTACTATCACCTTCTCCTTTTGACTCTCTGGTTATTGAACTTTCTTAAGTTTACTAACTCATTTCAGCTGGCCCTTAATGACCAGTAATCCTATACCGCTGTTTGTAGTAATCTATAGGCCTATTTCAAATGCTTAGCATGCAGACAAAAGCTATGATTATCCTATTACTAATGCCCACTCTTTGTTTCCAGAGAAACGGCCACTTCTTGGTTAAAAGACAAATTTGTGAACTATATCTGCAACAGGTTTTTTTTTTTTTTTTTAAGTATATATTGTTGCCCTGAGCCCTCTGCTGGTTTGGGAATTTTATCTCCTTGCATCTTACCTCACTGGTGAAAGAAAGCCAGGGTGGAAATGACAAAGCCAATCCTGGGCATCCTTGGGGGTCTGATGTCTGGCTATTTTCCATCTTTGTCCTTTACCTTGTGATCTGAGCTTTTCACAGCAACTGTGACACATGCTTGGGCCAACCAGTGAATAAATGGCTCCTCACCTCCTCACAAGCCGTGAAACTGTCCTAAACAAAAGACTATTGGCACTCGGGTCAGAAAAGAAATTTCCATAGGTCATTTCCTCATCAGAGTCTGAATCCTCTTTCTTGGCTTCACTTTAGGACTCAACTGTCAGATCTTTTCAACTGAGCAGCAAGAGCAGGAAGACAGCTGTACAAGGCCCACCGCTGGGTCCACTATGAGCAAGCATGATGCATATAGTATTCCTACAGGGTCAAGGGCCCTTCTGGCTAAAAGTAAAGCTTTCTTTTGTTTAAGTGCACGTGTTGGGATTCTTACTTTTGCTTTGACCAGTGGGTCTTAGCCTTGGTTCTCAGAATAATCTGGAGGCTTCCACAACAGTAGCCATTACTGGGTCCCACTCTTGACTATATTAGACTCCCTTGAGAGAGCAGGACACTGGTAGTGTTTAAAGGTTCCCAGGTGACTCCACTGTGCAACTGGGTGAAGAACTACTGTTCTCTCAGTAATCATCTATTTTAATATTAAATAATGTTATAGTTAGGAAAAAATTTCTTACAGCAAATCTAAATCTTCCTCTGTGGCCTCAATATTTAGTCCAATGATCTGAAAATCATTCTTCAAGCCTGAGTTTAATAGCTTGTTTTTTGTTGGCATTCTTATTAATGGCAGTGGATGGAAGTGGATCTCTACCCATTAGATGCCAGTGACACCCGCCTAGATATGACAGCCAAAAATGTCTCCAGTCATTGCCTCATGTCCTTTAGGGAAACAAAATCACCCTTGTTGAAAACCACTGATGTGCTCCTATCATATTCAATCTT